TCACGTCACCCCCCTCCTCCGCACACTCCACTGGCTTCCAGTTGAAGCTCGCATCCGCTACAAGACCATGGTGCTTGCCTATGGAGCAGTGAGGGGAACGGCACCTCTGTACCTTCGGGCTCTGATCAGTCCCTACACCCAAACGAGGGCATTGCGTTCATCCACCTCTGGCCTGCTGGCTCCCCTTCCTCTGCGGAAGCATAGTTCCCGCTCAGCCCAGTCAAAACTGTTCGCTGCTCTGGCACCCCAATGGTGGAACAAGCTCCCTCACGACGCCAGGACAGCGGAGTCACTCACCACCTTCCGGAGGCATTTGAAACCCCACCTCTTTAAGGAATACCTGGGATAGGATAAAGTAATCCTTCTACCCCCCCCCCCCCCCAAAATTGTAAAGTGGTTATCCCACTGGCTATAGGGTGAACGCACCAATTGGTGAGTCGCTCTGGATAAGAGCGTCTGCTAAATGACGTAAATGTGCCCTTGAGCAAGGCACTTAACCCTAATTGCTCCTGTAAGTCGCTCTGGATAAGAGCGTCTGCTAAATGACTAAAACGTAAATGTAATGTAACTTTAAAGGGGAACTTTCAGGTGTCTTTGTTTGGGAAGTAAATGCACACCTCAGTGAAAAACAATAGAGGAATTAAATCTCATATCTGATCAATCTAATGGTCACGTCTGTGTGTGTGTGTGTGTGTGTGTGTGTGTGTGTGTGTGTGTGTGTGTGTGTGTGTGCGTGTGCGTGTGTGTGTGTCTGTGTCTTTGTCTGTGTAACTTAGACCTCATGCACTGTCGTGCATGGCTGTGGGCTGTTGTGTGTAGATTTTCTTGATAATATGGTTATTTTCTAGGTCAGAGGAACACATAGAATGTGTTGATGTCTCCAACTCAAAGGGGGAAAAGTGTTTCTGTGACAACTAAATAGGTCAAGATGAAGGGGTTTTGATAGTTCCTCTTCAAGTGTTGCATCATAACTGTCCCTGTGACGACCACAACCTTTTCCCCCTTGCGTTTGTCACACAATGTATTAATTGGGACATTTGATCATGCCGCTTTTTACTATTTCTTAGCTTACACAACTACCACACGAAAACTGGGACAAAGTGGGAGGATCCTCTCCATTCACAGAGCAATTGAAGACCACTTCAATGAGCTGAAGTGATGAGTAAAACCTTAACTCTCACACCCACTGATACTTGTTAAATATAGTAATCAAAGGATTCTTGCAATTCAGAAGTTCATGTTTCATATCAATAGCTCTTATTACAGTGAGCTGAGATACGTGGAAAAGTACAGTGTCTTCAGAAAGTACTCACACCCCTTGACTTTTTCAAAATCTTGTTGTGTTACAGCCTGAATTTAAAATTGATCAAATTGCGATTTTGTGTCACTGGCCTACACACAATACCCTATAATGTCAAAGTGGAATTATGTTTTTAGATTTGTTCAAAAAATTAATAAGAAATTAGTCAATAAGTATTCAACCCCTTTGTTATGGCAAACCTAAATAAGTTCAGGAGTAAAAATGTGCTTAACAAGTCACATAATAAGTTGCATGGACTCACTCTGTGTGCAATAATAGTGTTTAACCTGATTTAGGAATGACTACCTCATCTCTGTACCCCACACATACAATTATCTGTAAGGTCCCTCAGTCGAGTAGTGAATTTCAAACACAGATTCAACCACAAAGACCAGGGAGGTTTTCCAATGCCTCGCAAAGAAGGGCTCCTATTGGTAGATGGGTCAAAATAGAAAAAGCAGACATTGAATATCCCTTTGAGCATGGTGAAGTTATTAATTACAATTTGGATGGTGACCCAGTCACTACAAAGATACAGACTTTCTTTCTAACTCAGTTTCCGGAGAGGAAGGAAACCGCTCAGGGATTTCACCATGAGGCCAATTGTGACTTTAAAAAAGGTACAGAGTTTAATAATGGTTGTGATAGGAGAAACCTGAGGATGGATTAACAACATTGTAGTTACTCCACAATACTAACCTAAATGACAGAATTAAAATATTAAAGTAAAACTGCAAAAGATGCAGCAAAGATATTCACTTTATGTCTTGAATACGAAGCGTTACATTTGTGGCAAATCCAATACAACACATCACTGAGTACCACTCTTCATATTTTTAAGCATAGTGGTGGCTGCATCATGTTATGGGTTACTATTGTAGTGTGTACAGCCTGCGCAAAAACCTAAGCAGAGCTCATGCCTTTCAAGCAACTTTTTTCAAAGCATCATTAGAGTCTCAACATGCGGCCTTACAATGTATTAAAAATCAAAACATATAGCCCAACGTTTGTAGAACAACTAAAGTTACATTAATAACTCTAAATTAAGCATATAGGAGTACCTATTTCTTTGTTAACCACTCAACACAGAATAGCCGCATGTGCGCGCTCCCTCAAATAGTTTGGAGAAAATATTTATATTTTATTCAGCTTTGTTCAACTGTATACTTCATACTATAAAATAATATAAAATAATGCCACGGAATTATAAGCAAATGTAAATTAGATATTTCTGTATTTCATGTTCAATACATTTGCAAACATTTCTAAAAACATGTTTTCACTTCTTCATTATGGGGTATTCTATGTAGATGGGTGAGGAAAAAAATGATTGAATCAATTTTGAATTCAGGCTGTAACACAACAAAATGTGGAATAAGTCAAGGGGTATGAATACTTTCTGAAGGCACTGTAATCCTACATAGGCCTTCTAATCACAATGGACTTATTGTGTTTGAATTGAACACTCAAACTTAGTTTTAAGGCTACTTGTATATCACATCACATTGTCACACAATCCCAACGTTGTGTAATCCTCTATTATACAATGATAACATCTCCCTTAAAATTTTGCTGACACGCATCAACGTATAGTTGCCGTAAATTCTTGATGCGGGCCTAGAGTGGAAGGGGGTTTACCAAGATACCAACAATGCGGCCTGTGTGTCGTACTTCCCTGACCCAAATACATGTCAAGACGGAAGTTTCCAGCTTGTTCCTCAACCGTGCTTATTCCTCCCATTAACTATGGTAGAGAGCATTACAAACTAACTACAACTAGGAAGAGCAGATGTATCATTCAGTTCTTTCCTGTTTTCTAATATTTTTTTTAGAAGAGATCATTTTCTGAATGTTCAAGCTAACCTTTTACTGCAGTGGGCTACAGTAAATCAGAGGTCACAGAGTGTTTCTTGGTGGTCTTAAACAAATCTACATTGGAAACAACAGTATACATCTCACACACATTATGGGCTTAAAAAAAAGAAGACACCTGTACCATGTCAGATATAGAGTTGAAATGTATTACATTTTGAGTTTGGGTCCCAGTATTACTGTCACGCCCTGGCTCTGGGGACTCTTAAATGTTGAGCCAGGGTGTGGAGTTTCTATGTTAGATTTTCTATGTTGTGTTTTCTAGATCGTTTAGATCTATGTTGGCCAGGGTGGTTCCCAATCAGAGACAGCTGTAGCTCGTTGTCTCTGATTGGGGACCATACTTAGGCAGCCTGTTGGCACCAGTTAGTTTGTTGGGATCTTGTTCCGTAAAGGTTTGTGTTGTTGTAACCTCAGGACTTCACGTATCGTTAGTTTTGTTGTTTTGTTCGTGTGTTGTGTACTAAATAAAATGTACGCTTATCACGCTGCGCCTTGGTTCCACGAGTCATCAGTCAACGTACGTGACAATTACACTTTATAAACATCACAGAAGACTGAAATATGTCAAAAAACCTTTGACATATAAACACCAGATTGTCGGCTGCTTTAAAAAAATAATTGTTATTAATTATGAAAGATATTAATAACATTTCACTCATGAGGCAACTAGGTGATTTGACTGCAGGAAAGGGCTACAAGGCACATTTAGGGATTGATTGTTGAAAGTGATGTAAGGAATGTCAATGTTTCTAAATCATTCTCTCCTCTCTCTCATAGATTCACCACTGTGAAAAGGGATTGGGACAGACCTGTCTGTGCCGACCCCAACCAGCAGTGGGTACAGGATGCCATTGAACGCATCAAGTAAGCTTAATTAGTTGTATTTTATTATATGTCATAATATTATGTTACTATAACTGAAGAATACAAAAAAACTCTAAATACAATAAAACACATGCATTGTTCTCTCATTGTGAAGGTCATGAATTGTAATAAACTGTAGGCTATGGTTAACTATAATGTGCTCTACGATTTTCTTCCTAAGGACCAAAAGGGTGGTAGCCTGAAGATGATATTGGCATCCACTAAGACCTGGCTTCGTCAACCATTTTACGAGGGTGATTTGAATGTTTGAATTATTTATCAAAGGTGATCTATGTATGGGTGAAAGTAATACTGCACTCAGTGTCAAACGTGATGTAAATGTTCAGTACAATACATTATATTGTATCTATTTTTATAATAAATGGTTATTTTTTCATCATGGTGTGGTTCACTGAATGTAACATTCATCTCCATTTTAGATTCAGATGGAACCTAAGTAAATGCTGTATTCTGGTATATAATTCAGTAGTAATTATATACTGAAACTGTCTCATAGGAATCATCACTGTGGCATTGTGAAGAACTCTGTCTGACCAATCAGGTTGTCTGCATTTTCCTTCACATCACTGAAGTGCTGTCGCATCTCTCTGATCTGTTCATGGTCAGACAACATGCAACTGGAGTAAGCCTCTCTTACTTCCAATTTACGAAACGTATTACTTATTCTAACACGACTCTTAGTCTCATCATCAGTGACGATGTGATAATTAATATGGCCCCACTCTGTGCATTCATTGTGGAGCCCAACAGTGTTTTTCTTGTATTCCTTGTATCCAGATAACAGCTCTTCTAGGTTGCTCTGGTAGGTGGTGATGATCGCTCGGACTGGAAAAGTATCTCTAGCTCCATCCAGTCTGGCTAGGTGAATCAGCATCTGGACCCAGATCCTCAGAGCCCACATGCTCATCTTTCCATCCCACAGCATGGAGTTTTTCAGCTATGTCAGGGCAAATCTCAGGTCACATTCCACATGCTTGATGTCACTCTGCAGCTCTGCCTTGTTGCGTATGTGCATGTGTTGCCTCTTGAGGTACTCATCCATTTGATCTCTCACAGCGGAGACCTTCTCCTCAGCAAAGACACGACGCAGCAGATCGTCTGTGCTATCCTCTGGAGTGTTAATGGCAGCTACAGCTCTGTCTATCACTATAGAGAAGACCAGGGACCCTGGGTCTACCTGGCACCTGAGAATTGCAGCAGAGCTTTGTCAATGCCCACATTTTTAAATTTTCATCTGATCATTTATATTTAGCCTTTCTTTCTGTATCTTTTCCACTGTACTCATTGTTTGACCACCCATGTTTTCTTGGTTCTGGTCTCTGGTAGAGGGGGAAGAGTATTTTCCTTTGGTGTGAGCAATCAGTCGTTGGTCTCTGTTGAGTGTGTGTGTTGTCTAGGACACTTAGGCATGATCCTTCAGTGAAGCCGTACAGAAAACTGTAACAACGACGCAGGGAGTCAGAAAGCAGGTGCAGATGGTGAGTTTAATAATAACGAACATAGAGTTAGAAAACAAGAGAAGCTTCTGGACATGAATACAGAACCAAAACTGCCTGATGACTGAGGTTGGTGAGGGCTATATGAAGGGAGAGTAATTAGGGTGGTGATGAAGTCCAGGTATGCTTAACAATGGGGAGCATGTGTGCACAATGATGGTTGCCAGGTGTGCACAATGTGGGTTGCCAGGACCGGTGGTTAATAGACACACAAACACACCCATGTGTCTATGTATTCGGATGACTCAACATTATACACGTCAGCTACTACCGTGAGTGAAATCACTGCAACACCTAACAAAGAGCTGCAGTCAGGTTCAAAATGGGTGGCAAGAAATAAGTTAGTCCAAAATATTTCAAAAACTAAAAGCCCTCTATTTGGGACAAATCATTCATTAAACCATAAACCTCAACTAAATCTTGGAATGAATAATGTGGAAATTGAGCAAATTGAGGAGACTAAACTGCTTGTAGTAACCCTGGATTATAAACTGTCATTGTCAAAACATGCAACAGTAGCTAAGATGGGGAGAGGTATGTCCATAATAAAGCGCTGCTCTGCCTTCTTAACAACAATATCAACAAGGCAGTTCCTACAGGCCCTAGTTTTGTCGCAGCTGGACTACTGCCCAGTCATGTGGTCAGGTGCCACAAAGAGGGACTTGGGAAAATTACAACTGGCCCAGAACAGGGCAGCATGGCTGGCCCTTAAATGTACACGTAGAGCTAACATTAATAATATGCATGTCAATCTCTCATGGCTCAAAGTAGAGGAGAGATTGACCTCATCACTAATTGTTTTTGTAAGAAGTATTGACATGTTGAATGCACCGAGTTGTCTGTTTAACCTCTATGGGATCGATGTCCCACATACGGGACGGTTTATCTAACGTGCGCTAATGTGATTAGCATGACTGGACTGTGTAAGTAACATCAAACTTTCCAGGTCATAGACATGTCTTATATGGGCAGAAAGCTTACATTCTTGTTAATCTAACTACACTGTCCAATTTGCAGTAGCTATCACAGTGAAAAAATACCATGCTATTGTTTGAGGAGAGTGCACAACAACAAAAAACGTATCACGGCAACTGGTTTGATTCATTCACCTCTGAAGGTAAATAATGTACTTACATTCAGTAATCTTACTCTGATTTGTCATCCTGAGGGTACCAGAGATAAAATATAGCATAGTTTTGTTTGATCAAATAAATGTTTATATTCAAATGTAGGAACTGGGTTCTACAGTTTGAACCCTTGCTGTCTCTGGCTCCACACTCACCCCTTCCGGCCATCTAGATGTGTGAAAGTTAGTGTATAAGATAATGATTTATCATGTGTGACATTCCTGGGAGTGTGTAAACTTACATTTTGTATTACCATATCATTTTTGTATGTTCTCTATGGTTATGTACTTGAAAGTGTATCAATTGACCAATTCGGCATATTTGGGCAGACTTGATACAAAATAGTCCAGTATTGCAATGCTTCACTGGATCAATCTGAATCTTTGCAGACACACTGCTACCATCTAGTGGCCAAAATCTAAATTGCGCCTAAACTGCAATATTATATTGTGGCCAAATGTTTAGTTTTTAAAGATACACATGTTTTTTTGTTTGTATTATCTTGTACCAGATCTAATGTTTTATATTCTCCTACATTAATTTCACATTTCCACAAACATCAAAGTGTTTCCTTTCAAATGGTATCAAGAATATGCATATCCTTGCTTCAGGTCCTGAGCTACAGGCAGTTAGATTTGGGTATGTCATTTTAGGCGAACATTTTTAAAAAGGGTCCGATCCTTAAGAGGTTAATCGACTAGCACACAGCTCAGACACCCCTGCATACCTCACAAGACATGCCACCAGAGGTCTCTTCACAGTCCCCAAGTCCAGAACAGACTATGGGAGGCACACAGCACTACATAGAGCCATGGCTACATGGAACTCTATTCCACATCAAGTAACTCACGTAAGCAGTACATTCAGATGTAAAAAACAGATACAAATACATTTAATGGAACAGCAAGGACTGTGAAGAGACACACACACAGGTACAAACACACAAAACATACACACTATACACACACGTACACCTGGATTATGTGTTGCAGTAGAGTAGTGGCCGGAGGAAACACACTTAATGTATTGTGAAATCTGTTGTCAGGTGTATTTGAATGTTTACATGTTTTATTATAATGTATGTTACTGCCTTAATTTTTGCTGGACCCTAGGAAGAGTAGCTGCTGCCTTGGCAGGAACTAATGGAGATCCATTATAAATACAAATACAAATACACACACACACACACACAAATACACACACACACACAAACAAACACACACACACACAGCGCAACAGCAACTTACAGTGAGGATGTATTTTCCGTGTCTGTGTTGAGCTCTGTTCCTTTTGATAAGTGAAGGGACAGTCCGGTTACAGAGGTAAAAAGTTCCTTCAGGTTAACTTTAACATATATTATCTCATGTTTCTATCTGACTCTCCTCCTCCTTGTTTGAACTTCAGTCCACAATCCCTAACGTACACTACATGACCAAATGTATGTGGACCCAATCTCAATCCAAAATCATGGGCATTAATATGGAGTTGGTCCCCCCTTAGCTGCTATAACAGCCTCCACACTTCTAGAAAATCATTGTCATGCTTTTAACAGGAAAGGGCCTTCCCCAAACTGCTGCCACAAAGTTGGAAGCACAGAATCGTCTAGAATGTCATTGTATGTTGTAGCGTTAAGATTTTCCTTCACTGGAACTAAGGGACCTAGCTCAAACCATGAAAAACAGCCCCAGACCATTATTCTTCCTCCACCAAACTTTATAGTTGGCACTATCCATTGGGGCTGGTAGCGTTCTCCTGGCATCTGCCAAACCCAGATTCATTCGTCAGACTGCCAGATGGTGAAGAGTGATTCATCCAGTGGCGGTTGGTGCCGTTTAAGATGAGGCAGGATGATATTTTTTTTAATGAGCATGGCCTTATTTTCATTACAGCATATTGGATGACTGTCATTCACATTCCATTCACCCAGCTTAATGTAACATCGATAGGTTTAGGCTACTACATGATACTCACATTTTTTCTCTGTACCAATCATGAGGTTGCTACAACCTAGCCTATGAATGAAAGTTTAAAAAGTAGATGCACAGGTCAAGAGAATTGAGTAATCATGGTGACAGACAGTGACACATTCAATACCGCCTTGCACCTTCTTGCCTGCATATAGCTGATCTAGGGCATAATCATTAGTCCAACAGTTGCAAATGAGAATTTTTATTGGACAAATTCAGGTATGTTTATCCCCGTTTAGTTCCGTTTGCTTCCGTTTAAGAAACGTTTTTCAATAGAATCGGCGGAATGAATACACCCGTTATCACAAACACAGTTCACTTTCATGGCAGCCATATAAAAAGAACATAGGTTTAATAGTCACAGTGGGTACAACATCTCCTATACACTTCCTGATAAACTCAGTCACCGTATCAGTATATACTTCGATATTATTCTCTGAAGCTATCAGGAGCATATCCCAGTCCACGTGATCAAAACAATCTTGAAGCGTGGATTCTGATTGGTCAGACCAGCGTTGAATAGTCCTTAGCACGGGCACTTCCTGTTTGAGTTTCTGCCTATAGGAAGGGAGGAGCTAAATGGAGTCGTGGTCAGATTTGCCGAAAGGAGGGCGGGGGAGGGCCTTGTATGCATCCCGAAAGTTGGAGTAGCAGTGGTCGAGTGTTTTAGGAGCGTGAGTACTACAGTCGATGTGTTGATAGAAATTTGGCAACCTTTTCCTCAAATTTGCTTTGTTAAAATACCCAGCTGCAATAAATGCAGCCTCAGGATATGTGGTTTCCAGTTTACATAGAGTCCAGTGAAGTTCTTTGAGGGCCGTCGTGGTATCGGCTTGAGTGGGGTTAAACACGGCTGTGACTATAACTGAAGAAAATTATCTTGGGAGATAATACGGTCTGCATTTGATTGTGAGGGATTCTAGGTCGGGTGAACAAAAGGACTTGAGTTCCTGTATGTTATCACAATTACACCATGAAACATACACCTCCGCCCTTCTGCTTCCCGGAGAGATATTTATTCCTGTCTGCGCGATGAACTGAGAACCCAACTGGCTGGACCGACTCGGACAGTATATCCCGAGAGAGCCATGTTTCCGTGAAACAGAGGATGTTACAATCCCTGATGTCTCTCTGGAAAGAAACCCTCGCCCTGAGCTCGTCAACTTTATTATCCAGAGACTGAATATTAGCGAGTAATATACTCGGAAGCGGTGGGTGGTGTGCACGCCTCCTGAGTCGGACAACACGGCCGTTCCGAGTACCTCTCCTCCAGCGTTGTTTTGGGTCGGCCTCTGGAATCATTTCAATTGCCCTGGAGGGTGCGAACAAAGGATCCGCTTTGTGAAAGTCGTATTCCTGGCCGTAATGCTGGTAGTGCTGGTGAGTTACCGCCTCTTTGATATCCAATAGTTATTCCCGGCTGTATGTAATAACACAAACCATTTTCTGTGCTAATAACGTAAAAAATAATACAGAAAAAAACTAAATACTGCTAAGTTTCCTAAGAGCTAGAAGCAAGGCAGCCCTCTTTGTCGGGCCATGCTTCTGAATTGTGATTTCCATCTCTATCTGAGATGCAGAGTATATGGTGTTTTCATACCTCAGATGTTTGATATTCCTATTTGATTTTCCAATGGACTAGGCCTAACAAATATATTCTGTTTAGCAAATATGAAGATAACTATGTATTTTCTTGCTGTAAATTGACCTATATATTTATACTAGCTGCATGCCGCCCTACGGCAGTAAATCATTGGATCAGATCTTTGCAATTCAATGCAATTGAATCTTTGATGACTGTAACCATAGAATAATAATTATATGACTGAAATCACCACAGGAAAGCACAAATTCATGCTACTAATAATCTATTGTCAACTACCTGTCTATTTGAAATGTTTTGATGATTTTGTTCACTGATCACTGTCAATTGCTCATTGTTCATGTGTTGAACTATTGAATTTTCATAGGAAAATCATTTGGTTGCAAATGCAGAATGAGAAAACTTCCAGAACTGGAATTTCACTGCTTTGAAAGTAGAGACATCAGTGTGTGTTGTGACACAGTTTGGAATTTGGGAATTAAACACTGATTGACGACTCAGTGCTGGTGTCGTTGGCTCCTCTTGGTTGTGCAACCTTTATAGATGAATATGAATAGATCTTGTAAATAGTCAGATATCTGATTGCTTTGAAGGAATATGCATTTGTCACAACGTGGGCAACTCTTGCCTAAAACCTTCAAAGGAACAAGGAGAAACAGGTGTAAGAAACTCCTGTAGTTAGCCAGGTAGAGGTTACGGTACATTGTATACAACCACAAAGGCCAGGTCTATGTAGATTTCAATGTAATCTAAAAATATCAGCTTGGAGCTTAAACACCATAGACACATACAAAGTGAATGTACTGTATGTCATCTATACAAGGCCTTTGGAATACGAGTGTTTTTATAAGAAGCATTGTGAGAGTGATCCACCCACTGGTGACCTCTCATGGTGTAGTGTCCTCAACAGTTACTACATCCACTCACTGGTGACCTCTCATGGTGTAGTGTCCTCCACAGTTACTACATCCACCCACTGGTGACCTCTCATGGTGTAGTGTCCTCAACAGTTACTACATCCACCCACTGGTGACCTCTCATGGTGTAGTGTCCTCCACAGTTACTACATCCACCCACTTGTGACCTCTCATGGTGTAGTGTCCTCCACAGTTACTACATCCACCCACTGGTGACCTCTCATGGTGTAGTGTCCTCAACAGTCACTACATCCACCCACTGGTGACCTCTCATGGTGTAGTGTCCTCCACAGTTACTACATCCACCCACTGGTGACCTCTCATGGTGTAGTGTCCTCCACAGTTACTACATCCACCCACTGGTGACCTCTCATGGTGTAGTGTCCTCCACAGTTACTACATCCACCCACTGGTGACCTCTCATGGTGTAGTGTCCTCAACAGTTACTACATCCACCCACTGGTGACCTCTCATGGTGTAGTGTCCTCCACAGTTACTACATCCACCCACTGGTGACCTCTCATGGTGTAGTGTCCTCCACAGTTACTACATTCAACCACTGCAGTGTCCTCTCATGGTGTAGTGTCCTCCACAGTTACTACATCCACCCACTGGTGACCTCTCATGGTGTAGTGTCCTCCACAGTTACTACATCCACCCAATGGTGACCTCTCATGGTGTAGTGTCCTCAACAGTTACTACATCCACCCACTGGTGACCTCTCATGGCGTAGTGTCCTCCACAGTTACTACATCCACCCACTGGTGACCTCTCATGGTGTAGTGTCCTCCACAGTTACTACATTCAACCACTGCAGTGTCCTCCACAATTACTGTACAATATCTTCTCTATCTGTCTATTTCATCAGTTAGTATCTGTCATTGTGCTGTCCAAGGTTCCTCTTCCTCTCACCACTATTATTTTTTGGGAATGGATCAGCTTAATATTGCAGATAGATTGTATCTTCTATCAATGTAATTGTCTGCATCACTTCCAATCCCCCATGTTTTTTTTTTTTTTCATATATATACTCCCCTTTATTACTTTTCAACCCCACCATCCTTTCCCTACTTGGAGTAAATTAGTGAACAACAATGCCCAGGCCTCTACTTCCGGTCTATACTTACTATCTACACCTTATGGACAGTGTTAAAAAACACTGCCGATTTTGCAGGTTTTCCTACTTACAAAGCATGTAGCGGTCTGTAATTTTTATCATAGGTACACTTCCACTGTGAGAGACGGAATCTAAAAAATCCAGAAAATAACATTGTATGATTTTTAAGTAATTAATTTGCATTTTATTGCATGACATAAGTATTTGATCACCTACCAACCAGTAAGAATTCCGGCTCTCACAGACCTGTTAATTTTTCTTTAAGAAGCCCTCCTGTTCTCCACTCATTACCTGTATTAACTGCACCTGTTTGAACTCGTTACCTGTATAAAAGACACCTGTCCACACACTCAATCAAACAGACTCCAACCTCTCCACAATGGCCAAGACCAGAGAGCTGTGTAAGGACATCAGAGATACAATTGTAGACCTGCACAAGGCTGGGATGGGCTACAGGACAATAGGCAAGCAGCTTGGTGAGAAGGCAACAACTGTTAGCGCAATTATTAGAAAATGGAAGAAGTTCAAGATGACGGTCAATCACCCTCGGTCTGGGGCTCCATGCAAGATCTCACCTCGTGGGGCATCAATGATCATGAGGAAGGTGAGGGATCAGCCCAGAACTACACGGCAGGACCTGGTCAATGACCTGAAGAGAGCTGGGACCACAGTCTCAAAGAAAACCATTAGTAACACACTACGCTGTCATGGATTAAAATCCTGCAGCGCACGCAAGGTCCCCCTGCTCAAGCCAGCGCATGTCCAGGCCCGTCTGAAGTTTGCCATTGACCATCTGGATGATCCAGAGGAGGAATGGGAGAAGGTCATGTGGTCTGATGAGACAAAAATTGAGCTTTTTTGTCTAAACTCCACTCACCGTGTTTGGAGGAAGAAGAAGGATGAGTACAACCCCAAGAACACCATCCCAACCGTGAAGCATGGAGGTGGAAACATCATTCTTTGGGGATGCTTTTCTGCAAAGGGGACAGGACGACTGCACCTTATTGAGGGGAGGATGGATGAAGCCATGTATCGCGAGATCTTGGCCAACAACCTCCTTCCCTCAGTAAGAGCATTGAAGATGGGTCGTGGCTGGGTCTTCCAGCATGACAACGACCCGAAACACACAGCCAGGGCAACTAAGGAGTGGCTCCGTAAGAAGCATCTCAAGGTCCTGGAGTGGCCTAGCCAGTCTCCAGACCTGAACCCAATAGAAAATCTTTGGAGGGAGCTGAAAGTCCATATTGCCCAGCGACAGCCCCGAAACCTGAAGGATCTGGAGAAGGTCTGTATGGAGGAGTGGGCCAAAATCCCTGCTGCAGTGTGTGCAAACCTGGTCAAGACCTACAGGAAACGTATGATCTCTGTAATTGCAAACAAAGGTTTCTGTACCAAATATTAAGTTCTGCTTTTCTGATGTATCAAATACTTATGTCATGCAATAAAATGCAAAATAATTACTTAAAAATCATACAATGTGATTTTCTGGATTTTTGTTTTAGATTCCGTCTCTCACAGTTGAAGTGTACCTATGATAAAAAATTACAGACCTCTACATGCTTTGTAAGTAGGAAAATCTGCAAAATCGGCAGTGTATCAAATACTTGTTCTCCCCACTGTATATAAATAAATTGGTCATTTAGCAGACGCTCTTATCCAGAGCGACTTACAGGAGCAATTAGGGTTAAGTGCCTTGCTCAAGGGCGACAGGTTTTTCACCTAGTCGGCTCGGGGATTAGAACCAGCGACCTTTCGGTTACTGGCACAACGCTCTTAACCACTAAGCTACCTGCCGCCCATATATATATATTTTTTATTGCTCCTGAACTTCTTCTACTCTCAACCTCTCCGATCATTTTCATGATGTCCATTCGGTTTGCTTCTATATGCCATATCTTTCTAACTGTGCTCTTTCCCAAAAGCTCCCAACATACAACCTATATACTTATTATGGACACAGTATGCTTACATTATTAGCTATCTTTGTTATTATTTGTTGTTATTTGTTATTAGTCCCATCCTTCAACTCTATTCAATACCTCCCATCTATCTCTTAACACCATCCATATAGGATTTCTATTTGCCATATATATTTCAACCGTACTGTGATGTTTTACAAAAGTTCTGAACCTTTCTATTCTCATTGCTTCTACAGATTGTGAATTAAAAATAAACATTTTTGCTAAAAGTATTATTATATTATTGATTGATTGACTATGACTTTTCAGTTCACCCAGTAATGCTATCTGCAAGGTTAGTTCCAGGTAAATATTGCAATCCTTTAGCCATTCCTGGACCTGTGTCCAAAAACAAGCTACAAATGGACAGAACCAAAACAAACGATCTAATGATTCTGTCTCTTCACAGCAAAATCTGCAGAGCTGGGAAGATTGTATCCCCCATATAAATAACATTCTATTGGTAGCAAGAATTTTATATAATAATTTAAATTGAAAGATTCTAATTTTTGAATCCGGTGTCGTTTTGCGTGTCAGTTCATAAACACTATGCCATGGGATCGGTACGTCAAAGATCTCTTCCCAACTATTTTGCAATCTATATGGGACGGCTGTCAATCCTTTGGTCCTTAAGTGAAACTGATATACTTTTTTATTTATCACAGTTTTCCTTAACCAATTATGTTCTTTAATGCAAGGCCGACAGACAAGTTCCTTACTTTCTCCCCCTTCCACTTTCCTCTTCCACTTTTGCGGTAAGGCTGCAATTATTTGGTTGTAATTTTGGGTAGAGCAGACATTTCCATATGTTTTTGTCAGCTGCATGTGCGACATAACTCCACCAGTCCTACCGATGATATCATTTACGAAAATTATACCTTTTTTAAACATTCTGTCAAAAAAGAAAGGTTTTTTTGTCAATTAGTGTATTTGAATTTAACCACAATATTTGTTGCATTATTTGTTCTGTCGTTTCTGGAGGATTAAATTGAAATTGCAACCAACTTTCTATGGCTTGTTTTAGAAATAGTGACATTTGGGAGATTATTTCCTTTTCAAATAACTGAAAGTGAGAGGTTGTAATCCGAATAAAGGGAAAAAGGCCTTTCTTGAACATTGGGTGAGACAATCTTACTAATTTGCTTGAGAACCAGTTCGGATTTAAGTATAACTTTTGTATGACTGAAGCTTTTAGTGATAGGTCTAATGCTTTAATATTTAATAATTTCTGTCCTCCGAATTCATATTCATTATATAAATATGCTATTTTAATTTTTTCTGGCTTGCCGTTCCAAATAAAATTGAATATTTTTTTCTCATATAATTTCAAAAAACTGTTCGCTAGGCGTAGGCAAGACCATAAGCAAATAGGTAAACTGGGATAATACTAAAGAGTTAATCAGGGTGATTTTTCCACAAATTGACAGGTATTTTCCTTTCCATGGTAGTAAGATCTTGTCTATTTTTGCTAACTTTCTATTAAACAAGTGAGAATTCTTAGTAAAATATAATATATTTATTATAGATATAAAATGTAACAGTAACAGTGACAAAAAGTAACAAATGTTTTCATGAATAAAAGTATAAACATCTAGTTTCCTGATACTCTTACAACGAGATCGTAACCTTAATGCATATAAACAAAGGTTATATTATAACAAGATTTTTTACATTTACAAAATATATTTATATAAATTCAGCCCAGAAAATATAGGACTAAGAAGATATAAGTAGCTGTATAGCAGACGAAACAGGATGGGAGATTTACATTGGTTATTAACATGTTCAGTTCCTGACTGTGGAATACACATGTACTGCTCCTCTGTATCCAGAGTACCCATCATCGGATTAGGACTGTGATTTCCTGATGTGAACCGCCTTGTCCCTAAAATAGATTAGAGAAATTCATATTATTTTCATTTTTCAAGGCCACTCTTTTCTCTCGATATCTCCAATTTAGAGTTTTATCTGTTCTAAAATCTGAAACAGGTTCAATGGGTCTACATTCATGAGTACCAACTTTGTTTGTACCATTCATAATAAACAACTTTATTCTATATCCCTTTTATTATTCAAGTGTAAATAGTATTACAGTTGAAATGTTATTTATTAGAGTCATTCTTACCCCAGTCGGTTGACATGTTCGATCACCCAGCTCTGGGAAGGGTCTGCACACACATCTTTCCCTTTTCCAGTGTGAAATCTGGAAGAGACGCATACAATACCGTCAGTCCATATTCAACACTCTGTTTTTACACTTTCAGCATTATTAACCCATTTTTGCATTAAACTATAATTACAGTATAATGGTATTTTTCTTGCTACATTATTTAAAGTTCTGTAAAGAATCATGAACCTCAATTAAAAAATAAATATTCACACCAAAGATACTCACATGATGGCAGGGATTCTGCAGATTTCAGTCGTGGTCTGTAGGGTATAGCCTATGATAACGCCAAAAGGTATTTTCCTACCAGTGTAGCTTTGACAACAGCCTCTTATACGACGTGCTGTAAAAAAAGGAGCAAATAAACGATTAAGGAGGAATCTTGATAAAGACTAAATATTACTCTAATTGTCCAACAGTTTCTTTCAGTTTTCCAGTAATAACACAGACAGACGGACTAAGACTAAACTTGGAGAGAGGGAGACAGAGGCATACAGACAGACAGACGGACGGACTAAGACTAAACTTTGACAGCAGAATATTGACCTTGTTTAGCTGCAGAAGCCTCAGTAGTGAACAGCCCCACAGCCAGGAGCACAAGCAGCACTATCACAGCAGCTCTGATCTGGGACATCTCTTCTTCTGTGGTGCTGTGGTTAGTGATGAGCTGAGCTGAGTTGCTGTCTTCAGAAAGAGAGCTTTAGTGGCTGTGTGAGGTCCTATTCATCACCAGAGCCATATATATACTCCTGGTGCAGGTGGAAACATTCTCTGAGAGGTGAAATGGGCTTTCCTACCCACGCCTTAACACCAAAGTCCCACGGCAGAATTACCCCATCACTTTCCCTAATTAGCATAAAAAAAGGTAATGACTTGCTATTATGAGATTGCGTTGCCAACCACTGTACCTCACAGTGTAATCCGCTGTTGGCCTCATAAGCAACGGATATGTGAGATGTGCCAATAAAATCAAACCTATGTATTTAGATTCAGACAGAGAAAAACACTGTGGTCTCAAATTAACACCTTTTGCTGTGATTATGTGTGTGTGTGTGTATCCATGTACCCACATCAGTGAAACCACCGCAAGTCATATCAACATAGAACATACTGTATTTACAGTTATCAGTTGATTTAGGTGGAAGCCCAATGCATTGTGAACCACAGCGGGTAAGGCTATGCAGTCAAACCAAGGGATTGCCCCTGTTTGTGGCCTATGAAGTGTAAGGGTTGGTGTGAGATGTGACCCAGGTGCGGTGCAGGAGATACAGTAGGCAGTAGGCAGAGATGGTGAAACAAGGATCTTTACTGGTGGTCCCGAAGCCAGAATACAAAATAACAGACTTATCATGATAAATGAAAGGCGGAGCAAATAAGTCTCCAAAAACCGTCTGACAGCAAAAATACGAAATACTACCTATGACTGAAACAAATAACGAAACAGGGAGAACACTTCTCAAGTACCTGTACATAGGTCTCCGATCAGACACTGAGTAGTACTGCTGGACATAGAGAAACTAACAGAGAAAACTGAGCAAGGGAACACAGGGAAGTGAGGGCATAAATACACAGGTAAACAGGTAGACACAGATGACACCAATAGGATACTGATTAGTCCAGACTGTGAGTGAGGAGTTGCCTAAGGTTGTCGGAGGATTACACCTAGTGGGTCGCTCCGGAACTGCGACCCCCTTCTGTAACAATGAAGCAGTGGATACATTTAAGATGGTGATATTGATCAGAGAATATGTGATCGGACGGTTAGATAGCAAACAAACCACAATAGCACCACAGAACCAGTAAATAACTTTGATTTCACGACAGGCTGAGTGTTGCACTGAGGATAATCAAGAACTTTTCCTTACAAAACATATGACAACTATGATGACATAATGACCCCAGGGCTCTGAGTTCTAATTCCTAACTGTAGAGCTCTGAATGATGGTAAACATTCCATACCAGAGGAACACTCCTAGCACCTGTGGAGCGGGGGGAGTATAAATGGAACGTTCAGGTGTGTGTGGGGGTGGGGGGGATTTATGTGTGTATTGTTCAAAATTTTTTGCTAGGTATTACTGCACTGTTAGAGCTAGAAACACAAGCATAACATCTGAAAATCTGTGTAAGCGACCAATAAACTGTTATTTTATTTGCACTGAAATACAAACGAGGAATGTAATATGTAATCTAATAGTCCCTTCTATGTGTGTGTGTGATTTCATATTATTTCATATTATTCTGTACTTAAATCCGAGACACTCCATTTAGTGTGATATGTTACGTTTCGCAAGGTCTATACTAATTTGTTGATGTCCATCACCCATTTCATATAATATGTTACGAATTAGCAAACCGTACAATATGGTACGAATTCGCAAAGCGTAAAATATGGTACGGATTCGCAAAACGTATGATATGTTAAAAAAAAATTGCTAGGTGAATAGGTACTAACGTAAAGGGTTAGAATTAAGGTTAGGGTGAAGTTTAGGTGTTAGGTTAAAGGGTTAAGGTTAGGGATAGGGGAAGGATTAGCTAAAAGGGTTAAGGTTAGGGGAAGGCAGTGGCGGCTCCTGAAAAAATTCTCAGGGGGGGCAATTTTTCTGATGATTTAGGTGACCTACACACATTTTTAAAAAGATATGTCCAGCAACAACATGAAGACAGGGGCAGCATATAAGTCAATACCAGAAGCATTTATTGACTGATCTCAAAAGTGTTGGCTTACAAAATCAAAATAAGTTATCACAGTAAAAATAATCAAGGGTGTTCTTTCACATTCCTCAACACTGCATAAACAATATGCATTTCCATAAACAAATGAAATATCAGCTGAAAATACAGCATCTTGGTATTTGTTCAGATTGCAGGATCAACAAGAGCTTTTACCACATTTTTTGCCTCATGGTTGAATTGGAAATATGTGCACCTGAGCATAATTCACAACAAGCAAGCAGGAGCTTTTGATAGAGGCTACTGAAAACATTGATGCAAGTTATTGGTAATAAGACATTTTTATAGACTTCCATATTCTGCCCTCTTGTATAGATTTGTGAAAATGAACAGTGATAGACATTTTGCCTGAAAACAGAATTTGAAAGTAATTTCTAGAAAAGGTAAACACAGCTATCTGTATGGCTTTGTAAAAATGAACAACCATATTCTGGCCAGAGAAAGAGAACCTTTCTTTGGTGTGATCCAGGATGGTGTTGCAGACCTCTTCAGACAGCCTCTGCTTCTCCTCTTCTCTCAAAGCTGTTCTGGGTCTTTTGGCTCCTGTTGCTTCTTGCAGCTGTTGAGAGGAGTCCCTGAAGGCAAACAGACCAATGTGTTTGTTGGCTTTGTACAGTATTGTTGTCTATGTGATGCACAGGTATATGCAATGTATCCATGTATAGTACAAATACTTCAGTTCCACTTAAAATGGGCAGGGATGCATAAAGTCTTTAGTGTTTAAGTTAGCCTTTGTGTCTCACATAGCCTGGATGTTCAGCACAGTATACAGTGGTGCTCATAAGCTTATGATCCCATGCTAAAGTTGACTAAAAAGAGGAATAAAAAAGAAAAGAAAATTGGTGTCCTTAAAGGTTGTATTTTCCAACTTTTTTAATTAAGTCATTAAGATCAATTTCCAAAAGAGGATTTTTGTATTCCTCTTTTTAGTCAACTTTAGAATGTGTTCATACACTTATGAGCACCACTGTACAGTACACATAGTATATAAAATAAGCTAGATTACACCACTGGCCATATATAATGAGAATAATGTAATTTCAAACACAAATGCAGTCTCCTTTCATGCATACATTTTCAAATAAAGCTCTGCTTTGAGAAAGATCGAATGATATTGTTTAATCTTACCTTATGGCCTGCACACTGCTTGTGAAGCTGTCGAGGGCACGTTTGATAAAGACAGCATCGATGTCCTTCTTCTGTAGCTTCTGGTACAGAATGTCGACGTGGGGCATGATTTTGTGAAAAAGCCGCAGGAAAAAAATTAAATCTTCATCATGTAGCATCCTCACGTAGCCAGATGCCTCTCTCACGGTGGGCTGGTCAAATGAACCCAATGAACCCGTCCGAATGGCTTCAAAACATTCTATGAGGTCGTCTCGATTCTCGTAGACAGTGTTCACGACTCTGCTTAGTAGAAACCTGTTGAATTATTAAATTTGGTCTGGGAGGTCCTAATTGTTTCGTTGCCAATTTATCTTGATTTGTTCGCCGACAAAAAGGAACTTCTTTCAAAGAGACAATCGAGTTGCACTGAAGGCTAGCCATTTTCACAGTAGTAGTGAATTGATTGATGAGGCTACCCGCTCTTTTCTTAGTTACGTTCATGGTTACGTTACGTATGACGAAAGCGCGTAAGTGCAAGCCCTCAGAAACCCATAGAGATTGTATTGAAAGCTCTGATATTTGAAAAAAATTGATTTTACATTAGAGGCTATGAGAGACTTCTGGGCGATTTTCAACCTGACTGAAATCGCCCCAAAACGGGCGGGGACATTTGAAGCACGACTTTAGCCTGATTGGACATTTAGTGGCAGATCAGACGTCTAGATTAGAACACTGATAACTACTGTTGCCGTGATATAATTGATTAGAAAAAAAATCCCTTCCTTTTCCCGTTTGGCAGTACGTCGCCCATATCGCCCTAATGAACACACCGCCCCTGGGGGAAGGGTTTGTTAACATGCTAAGTAGTTCCAAAGTAGTTAAAAAGTAGTAAGTAGTTGAACATTTGCTAATTAGCTAAAATACTAAAGTTGTCCGTGATGAGATTAGAACTCGCAACCTTTGGGTTGCTAGACGTTCGCGTTATATGCCTACACGTCCACCCTGACCAACCACCCTCCTTTCATTTTTGCCTTAAGAAACCATCTTTCTTATGTAACCATACTAAACGTAACATATATTAAATAGAGTGTCCTCGGATTTACGTACAGAATAATACGAAATGCTCTTAGACCTCGTGCACTGACACGCATGGATGTGGGCTGTTACGTGTAGGTTTTCTTGATAATATGGTTTCTTTCTAGGTCAGAGGAACACATAGAATGTGTTGATGCCTCCAACTCAAAGGGGGAAAAGTGTTTCTGTGACAACTAAATAGGTCATGATGAAGGGGTTTTAATAGTTCCTCTTCATGTGTTGCATTGTAGCTGTCCCTGTGACGACCACAACCTTTTCCCCCAAGCTTTTCCCCCACAATGCATTCAATTTGGAAATTTTATAATATTTTCATGAATATCAAAACGGGGACGTTAAACAATGACATACAACTACTGTAGGTCTACCATATGAAAACATGCTCTTAGCTTCAAAATGTTGGCCAGTGTATGGTTCTTACACTTTGGAGGATGCTAAGATTGTTGGCTTTTTCTTGTTTTCTGCTATACAAAAAAGCCACCACTACTCCCACTTACAGGCAATCTTTCAATCATGTACAACAGAGATCACAATACTGATTGAAAGACTAACTGAAATGAAGGATCCTCTCCATTCACACAGCAATTGAAGACCACATCAATGAGCTGAAGTGATGAGAAAAATCTTAATTCTCACACCCACTGATACTTGTTAAATATAGAAATCAAAGGATTCTTGCCGTCAAATGTTCTATTTTTTTCATATCAATAGCTGATATCACAGTTGAGATATATGTTAAAGTAACTCCTATATGGGCCTACTAATCACAACGGTCAAGATTTATTGTGTTTGAATTGAACA